CAGCAGACTCCTGCAGTTAGCCGATGCCACTATGACAGCAGACTCCTGCAGTAAGCCGATGCCGCTATGACAGCAGACTCCTGCAGTTAGCTGATGCCTCTATGACAGCAGACTCCTGCAGTTAGCTGATGCCACTATGACAGCAGACTCCTGCAGTTAGCCGATGCCGCTATGACAGCTGACTCCTGCAGTTAGCCGATGCTGCTATGACAGCAGACTCCTGCAGTTAGCCGATGCCGCTATGACAGCTGACTCCTGCAGTTAGCTGATGCCACTATGACAGCTGACTCCTGCAGTTAGCCGATGCCACTATGACAGCTGACTCCTGCAGTTAGCCGATGCCGCTATGACAGCAGACTCCTGCAGCTAGTCGATGCTGCTATGACAGCAGACTCCTGCAGTTAGCCGATGCCACTATGACAGCAGACTCCTGCAGTTCGCCGATGCCACTATGACAGCTGACGTCGGCCCCATGTAGGTGTGCTAGCTGGGCTGCTTACGTATATAATGTACACCCCTCTCTACACACCTGAAGTTTTTATATTTTACACAAATAAATATGGTATTCATGCATAATTATGAACAGTCCTATATGGTAAAAGCTTACCAGTAGGTTTGTCCGGGTTTGATTCCCCACATAGGTACAATGTGCGAATGATATTGTTAAAAGCGGGGTAGAACCCTACTCGCTGACTCACTACAGCCCTACGAATTGTGGACCAACTGTTAGGGACATGTTCGAACAGACTTGGAATAGGCAATTGCGATCATCATTGAAAGTTTGAAGGAACTTTATTCGTGACAACATGTTTTTTACGAGCCTTTTTGTGTTCGATATTCATTGCCATCTCCGTCAACCATAACCTTAAGGATCTGGCAGGAGTGGATTTGAAAATCTATCTGAAAACACTCGTCCCTTATAAAGGCCACCAAAACAATGTCCTGAGATCACTGAAGACACAGCTTATCAAACTTGATGAAATTCATTTCAGAACACACACAATTAAGAAAATCATACACAACCACTATTTCTGGGCCACAACTGTCTCATTGCTTTCACAAGCTGGCTTTGAATCTCTGAAATCTTGAAATTGACGTGTCAAATCATGCAGATTCCTCATGTCAACATAGCTGGCTCCTCTGCAACATAAAAAGTGGCTGTTCAGTCTTACTCAGTTCCATTGGTAATGATATTGTACCATATTGTACCATGTTGTACCAGCATTCTCACTCCCAGTAAATCTACAGGTTAATATGCAACCACATCATAGATCAGGGCTGTCATCTTGTTTCATGTTGCGTTAGGTAAACAACAACATTGACAGCCATTGACAGTTGTGAGCTGTGAGTACCGGGTAACAGTGATGTAGTCTTATTCTGTCATATCCAAGTTTGGGGTGGAGAGGCATTTATTTTGATTTTATTATTATTTACTGGAGGTAATTTCAAACTAACTAATAAGACTTACACATGTTAGATTCATAGTAAAATGTTAATTCATAAATGTGGTGTAGAAATATATTAGTTTAGGATCTTAGAAACTATTTCTACAACCTGTCACCCCTACAATGGAAATGGCATATTTGATTTCCAAGAAATGACTTGGTGAGTCCAAACAGTGCACAGCAGGTTGTTTAAACATCTGTCTTCAGACTAAGTTTGGAGGGTTATTTGTCAACTTCTTTTTGAAAAACTATGTGTTTTCCACACTTATTTTGAACTACTCAAGACTATGGGTATTTTAATGTTGAACTTTAGTAATATTTGTTACATATGTAACTACCTGTGACCACTTTTTTCCCCTTGTTAGATACCTCTTATTTATACATTTGAAACCTCGCCCTAAAGTTCTCAATTCCAAATAAAAATAAGAGGTACCTACTCTACATTGGGACTACATCAAATTTCAAAACATGGTAGGTTTATCGCCTTATTGAGTAACATTATTGTAGACAATTTCTAAAAGTTCTGTTTATTGATCAGTAGCATAACTAACTCAATTGTTGGCAAAAGATAAAGAAAGTGTTGAAAGAGTGGAAGTAATCATATGGATTAAGGAATCATAATGAGTAAGGAATCATATGGAGTAAGGAATCATAATGAGTAAGGAATCATATGGAGTAAGGAATCATATGGAGTTAGGAAATCATATGGAGTAAGGAATCATAATGAGTAAGGAATCATATGGAGTAAGGAATCATAATGAGTAAGGAAATCATATGGAGTAAGGAATCATAATGAGTAAGGAAATCATATGGAGTAAGGAATCATAATGAGTAAGGAATCATATGGAGTAAGGAATCATAATGAGTAAGGAATCATATGGAGTAAGGAATCATATGGAGTTAGGAAATCATATGGAGTAAGGAATCATAATGAGTAAGGAAATCATATGGAGTAAGGAATCATAATGAGTAAGGAAATCATATGGAGTAAGGAATCATATGGAGTAAGGAATCATAATGAGTAAGGAATCATAATGAGTAAGGAATCATATGGAGTAAGGAATCATATGGAGTTAGGAAATCATATGGAGTAAGGAATCATAATGAGTAAGGAATCATATGGAGTAAGGAATCATAATGAGTTAGGAAATCATATGGAGTAAGGAATCATAATGAGTAAGGAAATCATATGGAGTAAGGAATCATAATGAGTAAGGAAATTATATGGAGTAAGGAATCATGTGTAGTAAGGAAATCAGGATACTGTAGATCATGAAATTAATCTGAAAAATGTGAGTCTGTGGACATATTGGAGTCCTTGGTCACGTCAGGCTGATCGCATATTCCGGAAACAGTGACTTGCATAACAAGGCTCCCAGTATAGTGTAACGGAGTGGGAGATGGTGTTCACCATGCAGGTACTGTGCCAACTGTGCTCAGTCCGTTTACACAAGTTCATCAAGCTGTCATGACAGTCGCTGACCTTGTATGATGATTGTTCTTTGTAACCTATTTAAATAATCTTATTATTACAAACAAAAGCACTGCAAACATTTGTGAGTTCAAAGGATTGCACTAACTCATGTTACCACACTTGAAACCTTTTATGATCTTAGAATTTCCTCCTCTTAATGTCCTGGACGTTTGAGACCATGTAAAGACACAGCCGAATTGTTTGTGCAGTTCAATGATTCATTCCAACTGAGGGTTAACCTTTACTGGCACTCTCTGTCTGCAGTCTTTGAACATCCAAGTGCTGTCACCTTCACTGTCTTGTGGCACTCTCTGTCTACTGTCTTGGTGTTGACTGGTGATCATCCAACTGCTGTCACCTTCACTGTCTCATGGCACTCTCTGTCTACAGTCTTGGTGTTGACTGCTGATCATCCAACTGCTGTCACCTTCACTGTCTTGGGGCACTCTCTGTCTACAGTCTTGGTGTTGACTGCTGATCATCCAACTGCTGTCACCTTCACTGTCTCATGGCACTCTCTGTCTACTGTCTTGGTGTTGACTGCTGATCATCCAACTGCTGTCACCTTCACTGTCTCATGGCACTCTCTGTCTACTGTCTTGGTGTTGACTGCTGATCATCCAACTGCTGTCACCTTCACTGTCTCATGGCACTCTCTGTCTACTGTCTTGGTGTTGACTGCTGATCATCCAACTGCTGTCACCTTCACTGTCTCATGGCACTCTCTGTCTACTGTCTTGGTGTTGACTGGTAATCATCCAACTGCTGTGACCTTCACTGTCTCATGGCACTCTCTGTCTACAGTCTTGGTGTTGACTGGTAATCATCCAACTGCTGTCACCTTCACTGTCTCATGGCACTCTCTGTCTACTGTCTTGGTGTTGACTGGTAATCATCCAACTGCTGTCACCTTCACTGTCTCATGGCACTCTCTGTCTACAGTCTTGGTGTTGACTGGTAATCATCCAACTGCTGTCACCTTCACTGTCTCATTGCACTCTCTGTCTACAGTCTTGGTGTTGACTGGTGATCATCCAACTGTTGTCTCATGGCACTCTGTCTGCAGTCTTGGTGTTGACTGCCGATCAGTAGAGTTTTCAATAAATTTCATGAGGCATTTTATGCCAGGCATTAATTAGGTGGCACATTAATTTTATGAATTACAGTAGTTGATTTAGGTTTTCTGATCAAATCGGAAAAAGGATACATGTGAATGTCCATTAGTAGCTTGGATTCCAGGTGTTTTTGCAGTCATTGATTTGTCAATGTCAAAGGTTGATATTTCAAATTGTTTAATGTATCAAAACAAACTGGCAATGTACCAAAGTGATACGTTGAGAATGTATTTTTATGTCAATACATTTAGTAAGAAAAAAAACTTGAAGCTTGAAAGAGTCATCAAGCGTTGCCATTTGGATAGTAACAGGTAAATAATAGTTTGTAGCTTTTACAGGCTGTCAGCTTGGTATGTGAGCATAACCTGATCTGCACAGTCTGTATAGTATTTTGATTAGCCATAATGTCATTATGGGATGAAAGCAATTAAACCGTTGATGGATTAGAAATGATACTCTGTATGATAAATGTTCATAAGACAGATCTAGTGTCATCATTTCTGAGGTGGTTTTGTTTGTTATCTCAGCACCTCCCACAGCACAACCTGATTGGCATATGTTGACATTACCCTGCCCCTGGTGGGTTTCTTTAGGCCAACTCCAAAGTTTATTGACATTATATATTTATTCCACAGACTTCTTCCAGATGTCTCTCGGCAAATTCTTTTAGCACTAATCATGAAAAGGTCACAAGACACTTTGTGGTTACACATCTTCCTAAAGTGTTCATGCATGTATCTCTATTTCTGCAGATATGTTCAATGTATAATGTAGTTGTTATATTATATGAATACGTGACAAGTGAGGACTGTGTATGTGCAATGTATTTGCTGTCACATTGAACTCCACCTACTCAGGGACATCACACTGGAAATGTGTGGTGGAATGTAATGATTGAGCTGCTTCTGGTTCGGTTTACAAATTGATTATCATATACCTTCATGTACCTTCTTTTTCTTCCTACAGCTGTGAGATCAGACAGAATGCGAGGAGGGAGAAACAAGTTTGGTCCAATGTACAAGCGAGACAGAGCATTAAAGCAGCAAGCTCTTCGCCAGCAGCAGCAGATAGTGTCCCATTGCCAGATGAGACTAGCGAATGGTATGGCAGCGATGCCTGGATCCCCAGAAGACATCAAGCCAGATCCAGCTCTGTTAAACATCTCTTACAGAATAGATTCACCCCCTGGAAGTATGGGTGGTCAGACCAGCATAACATGTCCATCTCCTCCTCTTGGTAACCATAACAATAATAGCAACAGTAACAACAGTAACAGCAACAGCAACAGCAACAGTAACCAAAACAACACTGCCCAACATACCTCGAGTCCACTGCCTCTAACCTCACACCATCGTGCTCTGTCACCACTAAACTCTTATCCTATGTCATCCTCCTACCCCTCAGTGATGGATGCTCTGCGCACCTACCACCCGTCAACACCTCAGATGTCCACAGCAATCATGCCTCCTCAGCTAGTGGCAGATCTTAAGTCAAGTATGGCTGAGGAAGCTGAGGTCAAACACAAGCTATTAACATTTCTACAGACAGAATTTGGGCAGCTGGATGTAGCAGGACACCCAGAGCATTTTCTACAACTGATGTGTAAGATGACTGACCAGCTGCTCTTCCTCATGGTGGAGTGGGCACGCAGCTGCTTCTTTTTCAAGGAACTCAAGGCAAGTTGCATGTTTCTAAAACATTGGGGGTCAGTGAATGCTATGTGTTGGAGAAATAGCTCTTCATGTTCAGATTCGGCAACACAGGCCATCGAGAATGTGTCTATTGTTAAATATGGCTTGATAATACTTTAAGACTATATATTATATCATCAGATACTATTCTCTGTTCATTTTATTATGGTATGTTCGTCTGTCATCCATCTGTCATTAACTCTTGCATTTTCAGCATCACTTCTGAAACCACAAGACATGAGTCTGAAACTTTGCATGGAAGTTAACAGCTATGGTGCATCTAAAACATGCTCACAGAATTCCAATCAAGTTTAACATGGATATCTTATTGAAAATGTCATTTTGGGCTCTTTAGTTAGCCTTTTCTGGTTGTACCATTATGAATTGTTATTCAGTAAGAAGGGGATATGGTCAATGGCATATGGAATGACTTTTTGCAAATTTGTATTTGTGACTCTGTTCTGACCTTTGGCATTCTTTACATACTGCATGATTTACTGCATTTTGAACATCACATTTAATTTTGCAAGGATGATCATGAACAAATTTAAAAAATAGTGTCTGCAACTGCAGCCTCATTGAAAATATCTTCATATCCCTTATATGCAGCGAATGTATGGTGTATGAAATAACCTTTGCATATTTTAATTTGGATACTTGTTCAACTACAGGACACTTGAAGATTTCATGAAGCTGATATTTAAGCAGCCTAAAATAAATGAGGATGCTTTAAGGTTTTGTTACAACTTGAATGTTGCCACTGCCACATATCGCTTTTAGCGCACCCTGATATAATCAGAGTGAACATATGTCATGAGTTTATGTTGTCATCCATCCATTGATGCTTCCATTTTTATTGAACTTAAGAACTGTTCTTCAAAACTACCGAACATTATAATATCATATTACCATAACATTGTGCAATGTCAAGGGCTACAACAAAGGATACTTTTCATTTTCAGAAATTCAAAACAGTTTTTGCCATATCACATTTAGTGGAGAATACAGTCTTCTATATCCTCTCCAACAGAACTATTCCCCACATTACTTTAAAATCTTTGGAAGATGTTTTTAAATGGATGGTAGGTGAAATGAGGTCTGTGAAATCAATGGAATATCCAATTGTCATCTATATGTCGATTATACTAATAAGAGTGTTCATGCTTAAAACCACAGGAATAACTGACTTTGAAGGTCAAGATCACAACAAACAATACAAGGAGCTTTGACCAGAATGACTTGTGATTTTTAGCTCGCCTGGTCTTAAACTCATTACAAGTCGTCAGTTGTCGTCATATTCCATAAACTCTTTTTCTATTCTCTGAAATGACTGGATGGATTCTGTAGAAATGTGTGTGGTTTAAAATTGATGCAAGGCAATGAAACTGTGATTCTAATAATGCAGCCAGGTAGCCATGTTAAAATTGAAACACCTTAAAAAATCTCCTCCTTCAAAGTGTGAAGTGTGAAAGTTGCTGGATGAAATAGCCACCATACATTGTTAAGAGTTTGTTCAATGCTCATTCATAGTAAATCAAATATGGCTGCCAGGAAAACATGTGGTTTCCCTTCTGAACATGAATTTATATAGCATCAATATTACCACAAACATTTTCACATTCAATCTGACTCTGGATCTGTATATTGTTTCAATCCACTCAACATAGGTATGCCCACTCTTCCCCATATCATAGTGTACTCTTTATTACTGTACTTGTGGTTATGTATGTTTCAGCTGACTCAGATCATATACAGTTATGAAGTGGGAATAGGTAAATGAGAAATTTGAGAGTCATTGTGCTATGTTACTATTTCAACAAAGTATGGAACATCCAACCTTTGTAGTATTTAAGATAGCTGTGTTCAATAAAAGTACAAAATGCCTTATGCATCACATGCAATACACAACACTCAACGGATGAGTACCTGAAGTGAGTGCTGGCTGGAAAACCATTTCAGTTGCATTTTGCTGGTTGTCTCTGTGACTGGAAACCTGCCTGAATATGCCAAAGTATATTCCTTTCTATATGAGGGCTGGTCAAAAATGCAATACAAACAATTGTGTAAGTGTTTTTAATTTTATTTTGAACATAATCTCCCTACTTTTCAATACACTTCTCATATCGATAGTGAAGCTTTTCAATTCCAGTAAGGAAGAAGTTTTCTGAAGCCATCCTGAAAAAATGATTAACAGCAGCTTTGAGGTCATCATTGTCATCATGGCGCTTTCCACAAAGGCGTTCTTTCAGTTTAGCTGGAAATCACTTGGTGCCAGGTCTGGAGAGTATAGTGGGGGAAGGAAGCTCTTCGACACCACATTGTCACACAGCAGCCTTTGCAAGTAAGGAGGTGTGAGAAGAGGCGTAGTCATGAGATAGTAGAACTCCAGCAGTCAGTTTTCTTTGAAAGAATCTCTCAGCCGATGAAACAAATCAGCATAGTAGGCACCGGTAATCGTCTTTCTATGTAATCAACAAGGATCACACCCTTTGCATCCCTGTGGCCATAACTTTCTTAACTGATCTTGTGTCCATACTAATGTGTCGCTGGTGTGTCCCAATGGTCTGTCGAGCAGTTTCCGCAGCAGTAACAAAGCGATCTTGAAGATGCTATTGCACAATCGGACGATCCTGACGGCGGGTGTTGACCCTTGGTCTTCTACTACGTGGTCGGTCAACTGTAGTGTTTGTGGTCTGGTACCGTTGCTGGAGCCTGTATATGGTCCTTTTGTGGACTCGAAATGCATTGGCTACTTGCCGGGCGGTTTGTCCAGCTTGCAACCGTCAAAGGGCTTGTCAATCTTGGCATGTGGTAGCAATTCAATAACGAATGAATGTATCCGATCTGGGTGGATTTTTATAGGGCCAGAAATGGGGGAACGCATGTGCATTTCAATTTGCAAGGGGGTTACTTTGACAAAAATTACCAAGATATCTAAATGACAACTTTTCATGCAATGTTACTTGGGGTGATGTTTCTTTTGCGGTTCAGTACAGTTCCTTCTAAGTAGAAGTAGTCTTCAAACAACGCCATACCGCGCCCTAAGAACATAATTTCTATAAGTAATACAATTAGTACTGAAGTAGATATGATACCCTGAGCCAGTGTTTGGATGAGAGGTGTAATATTCTTGGCCCTTTACCTTTCTATTGCTTGTCCCAAGCACTTCAGAGGGAGGCCTTTCGTCTGACAAGGAATGTATCCCTCTTCATCACGTGGAGCCGGGAGGTGCTCACTGACCAATGGCTCAAGTGTCTTTTCAAAGTACATGAAGGTTGTCCCAACCATGCATTCATCAAAAAACTCTGTCTTCAGCATGTTGTTCATGCTGACATTCTTTGTTGACGCAGACAAGAAGAATTGTCACAGAATCCCCAATCTGTTAGGATCCATGTTTGCGGTTACTCTTCATCAAAAGTGTCTGCTGGGGCTCTTGATTTGTAACCATGTCAATGTTTACATCATAATTTTGTGATAAAATCTAGCTTCATCTTTGTGAAATCTTAAAACATGTTAAGACCAAAAAGTGATTTACTTGAAAGTAAATTTCTCTTTGTCTTCTAATTATTATTCTTAAATAATTTCGGTTGATCCTTTTTCAGCTACAGTTTGTAACAGTATTCCTCATATATGCATAATCAGCTACATTATTATACCCCCAACCTGAAAGGGCAGTGTTATATATAGTTATGTCACAGAATTCCGTCCTTCTGTCCGTCCTTTCGACTTCTTTCCTTCTGTCCTTCCAAAGACATTTTTGTGTGTGACATATTTTAACATGAAAACTACTATATAGATTCTTTTCAAACTTGGTGAACACTTTTTATACCTATAGGAAGTGTGAAGTTCGATTTCAATATTTGGATTTTCTGAAACAATTACAGCTTTTGTTCATTTTTTTACTTAGAATTGTTTTACATAAACATTTGTGTGAACTATAACTAGGAAATTATTACATGGTTTTTTTCAAGTATAGGGGACAGTTTCCATACTAATAGAAGAAGTGCAGTGCAAAGTTTGATTTTGATATGTGTATTTTCTGAAAAAATATGATTTTGATGTTGTGAATATTTTTTTTACTCCAACGTTTGTGCGACCTATGAGGTCAAATCTACTTCATGGATTCCTATAAAATTAGGAAACAGTTTCCGTACTAATAGAAGAGGTGCAGTGCAAAGTTTAATTTTGAAGTATATTTTCTGTAAAATAACATGATTTTTTTTCATGTTTTGAACTTAAAATATTTTTTTACTTCAACATTTGTGAAACCTGTAACTTAAAATCTACTTCATGGATTCTTTTCTAACTAGGGGTACAGTTTATATACTAATAGGCGAGGTGCAGTGCAAAGTTTGAATTCGACAGTTTCAGTCTACAGCAATCTATGAATTTACCTTGGTGTCCATTTCACACATGTTTAATCATCTTTCAATGATCGGCCAATTGATCTGTGATGACTAAAACATGTAATCACAGGTTCTTTTACAACCCCGGAAATCTCAAGTTGCAAGTTACGACGTTCATACTGTTTGGCCCTCTCTCTATGAAGGTTCATACTCAAAGGAACTCACACAATGTGAAGACAATAGACAATTATATACTCTGCAAAAAAAAGAAACGCAGAAGTGATTTTAGATATAGATATATAGATATAGATATAGATATATATATATATATATATATATAATTTAAATAATGAACAGTTAATAATTGATTGTTGAAAATTGGCGCACATCATTGTCATTGACCCAGGTTCCATATGGCACACATGGAACAGTAGATTTTCAAGATGAAGATTATCTGTTCTCAATATCTTGTATGGCCGCCATTAGAGTCCAAAAGTGACTATCATTTTCATTCTTTGGAAGCAATCAGATCCTGAATTGTGGCCTGGGGAATGTTCACCCACTCGGCCTGCAGTGCTTGTGCCATTTGAAGGAGGTTCAGTGGTTGTTGCTGACATGCTCCCAGTCGTTGATCCAATG